CCGATTATCGGAGAAGACATTTCCACAGCGGAGGGCTTTTCTCCAGAGACGGTCGCCATACTCCGTCTCGGACATCCCCGAACTCTGTATAAAGTTCGTTACCTCGGCGTAGGCTTCTGCGATGACTTCATTCGTCGCGTATGTCCTGAGGAGGTAATTGACGACCTCCGGATAGGACGACAACACTTCGTCCCTACGGGCGTCGGCTACACCAGACTCCCCCACGATACGGGTCTGCACCTTTGCCAGGGCCGTGCCAGTCATGAAGAACTGGAAGCACCAGAGGGCCGCTCCCTCATGCACGCCGTTCTGATTGCACGCCGCCGTAAAACTGGAGAGGAAATTTAGCACCGCAATCGGGTCGTCTCCGCTGAAGGTCACGCCCTTCATCTGAAGAGCCATCCGCTTCCCGGCCCTCGAAACCGTGCTGGCAACTTTGGCGTTGTATCGTCCCGAACGGTTGTGCAGCCGATACCGGCGGTAATCCATGACCTTTTTAAAGAGGTCGTTTAGGGGGCGAATCCGACGCACATGCCTCACGTCTACTTCGAAATCGTCCCCAGAGGAGTCTGTTTCGTCCCTCGTGGCATCACTAGCTTCCGATCCGTCGGTCTCGTATCCCTTGCTCTTGGTCTTTCTCCGGTATTTCTGCGTCGGCAGCACTACGCGACCGGCCCCGGGCGGAAACGCGGGTGGCTGTCTCATCTCTTGGGCTTGAAGTCGGCCATCGCGCTCTTCTCCATCCCACGGGGTCTCACGTCCCATATGAGGGTATTGCGGCCGCGCGTTCCCAAGCATCAGCGACGGCGGTAATACGTCCGTTGCCGCCAACGGCAGTCGCTCCGCCGGCGGCGCTCGAGCGCGCACCTCTGCCCGGGTAACGTCCCCCACGGTTGACGTGATCGTGTCCCAAAAGGGGCCGCGTCCGACTACGTCGTCCACAGCGCTCCTGACGAGGGTCCGGCTGTGATCCTCAACGATCTTTCGGAGCGTGCTTGTCAATTGCGCCTCCACGGCAGCCGGGATTCGCTTGTCCATCTCGGCCGTCAACCACGTGTTTAGGGCCGCCCTCTGGGTCAGGTCCCCTAGGTCCGGGTGGGCCTCTAAGGCGTCTCCGTGGATTGTCATCCTATTTGGACGTTCGTCGCCGATTATGGCGGGGGTCGGCTCGCTCTCTCCGCGTTGTCGGCCTTCGAAGGGCCCCTCCGCCGGCGTCGGTGGTAATGCCGCTCTGGTCTGCGATCGCGTCCTTGCGCGGGCCAAGCGCTCCACATGCGCCGCTCGTGCCTCGGCGCTTCTAACGGAGCCCGCGTTCTCTGTCGAGCCGTCCGTGCGACTTGGTTCGCCCAGCTGGGACCGATTTACTGACTCGTCGTCCCTTCCGTCTCGGGGGAAGCCCCCCTGCGATCTCGCGTCTTCTCGTCCACTCATCTTGAAACGAGGCGGTGATTCTCGATCCCTTCCAATCTCAGTCGTCCGATTCGGAAATGAATAAAAGAATCCTAGAAATAGATTTCTAGGTCGGGAGACCAGTTGTAATAATATGGATCCTTCCGGTTCGGTTTTTACCCCGTCACGGAGGGGGTGTCCACGGCAGCGGTAAAATTACAACACCACCAACCTCTCTTTGAGGGCGGCGGTTATGACTCCGGTAAACGGACGAGTGGAATTGCGACCCCGGAGGGGATAGGGCTCAATGGGCATACGCTTCCACCAGGCGGTGGAACGACCAAACTGGGGAGCGTGTGCTTCCGGCCCTCAAGAATAACCCGTGCGGGACGATCTCCCTCTTTCTCCTAAGTTCTCGCCCCGGGGGTCGCTACCCCCTTTTTACTCTGGGAGCGTACTGCCTCGGCCCCTAAGTACGTCGACCTCCGGCGACCGGGCAGTACAGTAGTGATCCACTTCTACTTTGGATCACTACAGTGGAGTACCTCTACTGTACTCCACCGGGGAGTAATCTGCACAGCAGCACACGTGGCTGGGCTCCTGCCACCTGTACTCGCAGGCAGAGCGCGCACCACGTGTGCTAGCTGGGACTCCCCCGGCTGACACTCCCATCACACTAATTTCTACGCCCCTACAGTAGGAACTACTAGTCTACTGTACCCGATCGGGACGTTATATGTACGGCGGTACACGTGGCCATTCCGCCGCCACCTGTCACCCGTGGCGGTACGTGCACCCCGTGTACAAGCTGAATTACCCCCCTGCCTTTCCAATATCGTCTGATCACCCCTACGGGATCTCCCTCCGGATCGTTACGTTTACCAACACCGGTCGGTACCCGTTCTCCCACACCTCAGACGCTACAGGGAAAATTTTTACTCGCTCCGACTTTGCGTCCACCCTGCCCATGCCCAAAGAGCACATGTCCAGCGCGCCGCTGCCAACCTGGCGCACGCCCCTGATGCCGCGCAGCAACACCGCTCGGTTGACCGCGAGCATGGCCACCACGCCCGCGCCCCGCTCGTAACTCCACTCCGACACCACCAGCACGCGCACCAGCGCGCGCGTCGCCCCGGCACCCGATCGCTCGTTCGTTCAGCGTCGCGCCGCGCCCGCGCACGGACGCCAACGTCTCGCCCATCTCCGGCGCGTACACTACCCCAACGGGCACGCATCCTCCGCGCACCACCCCGATCGACACGGCCCACGCCCGCAGTCCGTGCACAAAGTTGCTCGTCCCGTCCACCCCTTCTACCACCCACGTCGTGCCGCCGCCGAGCCACGCCGGCTCGCCGCTCTCCTCGCCTAACACCGCGTGCCCCGGGAACGCCGCCCCCACCCCCGCGAACACCGCCGCCTGCGCCGCGTCGTCCGCCCGTGTCACATGTCTGTCTCCCCGCTCTTCTGCCGCACGTCCAGCCCCGCCCCCGCCGCCCTGTTCGCCCCCGACGCGTTCCAGATCCGCAGCGCCACGTCCCCGGCGTGAGGCGCCAGCAGCAGCCAGCCCAGCTCGTCTTCCCTGTGCCCGGCAGCAGCCATCCCGTGCGTCCGTGTACGCGCACGGGCGCGCTCGGACGTCCTTTTTTATACGCTTTTTCACGCCACTCCCATGAGGTCGCCCCGAGATTACCGCATTCACGCCCCGGAGCTCGCGCGATAGCGCCGCCTGCGCGCTGCCTCCCAAAACACGCGACGCAACGAACACAGCTTGCCGCTTTATACGTTTTTACTTCTTTCTTGGCGCCGCGCAGGCTTGCGACCCTCACGCCCTGGGCGTCGGCCTGTTCGGATTGTCTGGTCTTGGACTTTGAACTCGCGGCTTTTCGGGCACAATTGAGGCCCAGATCAGTTACCTTGTGAACGCCACGTGACATAGTTCTCTAAGAGAGGTGGCTCACCGTTGAAGTATATCGATATTTGATTCCCGTAAAGACATGTCCGGAAGTTCATTAGTAGCATTGCCACAAGGTAGAAAGAGCCGACTGTGGCTTGCAGCACCCGTATCTTCCTCCGAAAATCTAATGTTGTCCATTACGTCTTGATTTCTTTGAAGAGCCACTCAACCGAAATACGACCAGATGATATTGCTTTGTTGAATGATGATTCTTCAGGAGACATTTGTGATCCTTGAAATGGGATCTGTAAGTACAGTCTTTCGTTATACCCACTATCACCATAAATACAGAACTGATCCTCACCGACCCTTAGGAAGGCTTCGAGCTGTGAATCGATCTCAGATCTAGTATACAACGTCCAGTCATGTCTTCGACCTTCTACTGGTCCATATGCATGTAAAATGAGTCCATCAGGAGTCGTCACAGCTTGGAACTTCAAGGCATGTGACCTTTTGTGACCGTTGAAAACGACTTTCGGCATATCGTATTTATCTGGTCTTGCAATTTTGATTACTGTTCCGTCTATGAATCCTACACAGTTTGAAAGAGCTGCGAGTCAATTGTCGATTGCATCTGCGTACATATACAGACGTTCAGAAATATCGCTTGCACGTAGGGCACTGCAGATGAGGTGTTACTGGGCATCCAGGAAGTCATCAATTGCTTCCCAGAAAATTTCGCTCATCTGTGAGGCGTGCTTTCGGAAGAACCTCTCTCGATCTTGCCACCGATACGGAGTGGCCAGACGACTTAAAACAGCACACGTCGTGAGGACAGGAAAGCTTGAGTATCTATTTCTGTCTGTTAGGTATTTGATCGGCTTGTCGCATATGATTTCGGATAGTCTCAGAACGTCGTCTCTCAAAAAACGAAAATGAAACAAGCACATGTGGTCACTAAGATTAGCAAAGACGTCGGAGAAAGAGTTTTGTGCGATGAAGTCCGTACGAATCCATGCTTTCTCGTAGTTCATACTGTACCGTCGGTACATGCCATGTGCTTTTCGAAGTAGCTCTGTGCTACGCCGGACACCGCGAGATCTTTCTCGCAGTAGCTGGAGAGGGATATGAGGCCATCTCCCTCTTGCTTGAAGTGCGTTTCTAGCGCTGTAGTCAGAGAGTGCGGTTCCTCGCGGCATCGTTCTTGCAAGGGGATCAGGTAATACTTACGGCAATGGAGAGGTCTGGCTTTGCGTAAATTCATTTCTGCTTTTCATGTTTGCAGAATTCTGCAATTATTTTCTACGGAGGCACTTACAGAATTTTGTCTGAAGTTTGTCTGAAGCGCCTTTTGCGTAAATTCCCTAATAACTTTATCCTTGGAGTACTGAACCATGCCGGATGATACACGTGTGAGCTTATGATAACCTGTGCCAGAGGGTGAGCCATAGCACTATATAGAGGGAAGCACTACTAAAGTAGGCACTATTGGGCGAGCCCCCTGTACAGAGTAAAGTCTCCATAGAGTTCAATGCACAGAGTAAAGTTTCGATAGAGTGAAGCCTCTCAGGGGCAAACCGGTTGCACATTTTTAGACTTCGACAAGTGGGCTCCGTGCGCGCTTCGCGCGCCGAGCCAAGGAGGCGTGGAGGAACACTATTTGGGAAGGGTGGCAATGAAAATATGTAAAGACAATGGCGTTTACTTTTTTTGGTAACTACTGAAGGACCTCGGGGTACACTACGTTTCGCGTGGTTTCATTGGACTCTCGAGTGAGGACAGTGACGTTGCCTGGGTGAGTAGTCCTTGACAGTGCGACATAGAGTTGACCGTGCGAGAAGCAGTGATCTCGTAAGTCGAGACCAATGCGGCCACCGAAGGATTGGCCTTGCGCTTTGTTCGTTGTAAGGGCGAAGCACGTGCGAATGGGTAACTGCGTTCGGGTGAAGCCAGGGATGGGAAAGTTGTCGTCTCCTGGTCCGCAGGGCATTCGAGGAAGACACAGTCTGTTGCCTTGGTGTGACCCGGTGGTAACGTGTAGAAAGAGAAGGTTGTTGGTCATGTTCTCGATGACATATCGCGCGCCGTTGACGTGACCGGTAGCGGGATCGAGATTGCGCAGAAGCATGACGATGAAGCCTTTCTTGAGCTTGAGCTTGTGGTCTGGTAGAGCAGATCCGGCGGTCAAGGTGTTGAGCATTTCTGTGGGATAGATCAGCGCGTTGGTGTCTTCGTTCTCGACCTTGTCTGCGCTCAAATACGTTCGATACGATCCCGGAATCAGGTTGCCGATGGCCTCGTGGACTTCCTCGAGCGGCCTGTTCTTTGTGGTGAGTATAACGCGCTTGGTGAGCCAGGCAGGGTCGGCGTGATTGTCTCGAATGCCTTGGAAGACCTTGAGGCATAAATTGCGGATGGTGTGCTCGAACGCAACGGACTGTGGTAGAGAGATCCATTCCGGGCGCTGTTCGCCTTGAAGTCTGCCTTCCCCGACGCTGAGGAGGAATTCTGGAAAGTTGAGAGCCTCCACATCTGCTGCAGGGTCCGCTCGGAGAGCAGCAAGGCGCATGTTCTCGGTAAGGCGCAGGAATCGGCACTCTCGATACAGCGGGGAAGCCTTGACGCACGCACTCACGATTTGACCTCTGGACCCGCCCAGAACGACGGGAAGGATTTGTCTAAAGTCTCCAGCGAGCACGAGGAACTTTCCTCCGAAGGGCCGGTCGGTTTGCATCAAGTCTCGAAGGGAGCGATCAACAGTCTCAATGCAATGTCGATGGCACATGACGATCTCGTCCCATATGATGAGATGGACTTGTTGCAGTGTACGGCCTGTGTCGGAGTTTGCGGAGAAGCTGCACGTGCTTTCGGCAGATACAGGAATGGGAATCTTGAACACGGAATGAGCGGTGCGTCCACCGTCGAGCAGCACAGCAGCAACAGCAGACGTAGCGACAGCGATGACCTGCTTACGGCGCTTACGAAGGAAGTCTTGAATGGCGCTGAGCACGAATGTTTTGCCTGTTCCGCCAGGAGCATCGAGGAAGAAGAGACGACCACTTCGTGTCGGCATAGAAGGTCCCGCAACGGCGCTTAAGGATCCTTGAAGCAATGCAGAGACGGATACGCCTGGAAGCAAGGAGCCCACTATTTCGTCAAAGGCATGACGTTGATTTGTGTTCAACAGCGGCAACGACGTCTGTAGTCGCCCTTCCCACTGCTGCGCTCGTGCTTCGGGGGTCTCGATCTCGTTTTGCTGTTCCAAAGCGGGCAGGCTGTCATCGGGCAGTGGGAGTCCGAAGTTTGCGAGCGTCCAGTCGGATCGCACGGTCTGCAGAGCCTCCTGTACCTCTTGAAGTACGTAAGATGTGGCGTGGTGATCATCGCGAAGCTGCTGTCTTCGAATGGGTTGTCTGCGTGCACGATTGCGAATATCGGTGACAAACATGTCCAGGTGGTCGTTCCACAGCGAGAGAGGGTCCGAAGGCTGGCAGTGTGCCAGAATCGTAGCAAACAGATGAGAAAGAGGAACGAAGCTTGACCGGAATGAATCTCGGATTGCGTGCTTCCACTCGGCATCGTCGGCCAGCAAACCGAGTCGTAAGCAAGCTTGTCGGAAGCTGGTTCACTGCTCGCCGTCGATATTTCGCAAGTTCTCGAAGGATGTTGCCCCTGGCACTTGTGTGAGGAGGAGGCGAAGAAAGTAGCGCTCACCCTCCCTCGGACTGACAGTGTAGATTCGACCGACTACGTTGGCACCTGTACCACTGAAATCGTAGGCTTCCTCTTCGCTGGTGGCGTTCCGTCTTCGCAGGGTTGCTCTTGGACTCCATGACTTGGTGCGTGTCTTCCACGTAAAGTACCTTGGAAACTTGTGGTACCGAATATGCCGCGCGCTTGGGTACTTCTCGTTGGCTTTAAACCACTCGGTCAGCTTCGTGCCTGTTGCTGGTCGAAGCGCCGCCTCCTGCTCTCGCCCTTCCTCAAAGTAAACCGTGTGGTGGTTGGGCAGATGCACTGCAAGCCTGACTACTGGAGGATTGCGGTCTACAATGTCAAAGGAGAATAACCTCCATGCGGCCTCCGATGCCGAAACGTATCTGGCATCTTGGAAGTTAGAGATCTCGTCGTAGCGCTCGTTCTCGGCAGTGATTTCCATGGTCACTCGGTCTTGTCCCTTGCACACATACTTGAAGAGGTACTTGATTCCGCCAACGCGTGACACGCAGAGTTCAACATTCAAATGGCAAGCGAATGAACGTAGAAGCACAGGACTGTGAGGAACGACCCAGGAGTTGTCTACCACGACGGGTTGCTGTCGGCGGCCAATACGGGAGGGTCGCTCGATGGAGACGCCACCTGCAGAGGGTGCCCTTCTTCGGTACGTGATGTAGTACTCACTGTCGGACTGGCTGGTTTCGTGTTTGAACGATTTTGGAAACCCTTTCCTGCAGTACCGCTCGCCCATGCACACGGCTGTTGGATTGTGTTCTCCACATGGATTGTTAATCATATGCTTGAGCACGACCTCTTGGAGTTCTGGATCTTGGGCAGACGGGATCTCGGCAGAGATAATGCGGTCGACGTTTTCGGGAGTACGCAGATCATTCTTGGAGACTTCATCTAGGAAAAATACAACGTGAGCGTGGGGAAGACCGCGTTTCTGAAACTTGATGACTCGTACATGGGCAACAACGGTTCCGAATACTTCTTCGTTGATGAACAAGGACATGAGATCTTTCATTTTGAGACGAAACACACGTGCGCACAGATCCGGTCTGTCCTGAGGCGTTTGGTTCGGCAGTAGGGCTCTTGTGATCTCCGGCCAGCTTGGATTGCATGTCATGGTGAGGAAGATGTCCGGGTGGCCAGTTTGGTTCGATATAGCAATGATGTCGTGCATCTGCTGCCTCATATAGCGGTCACCTCCAATGTACGTGGAAGGGAGAATGAACAGTCGTCCCGCACGCACGGCATCGGCTTCATCTTCAGCACGACGGGAGTCTCCTAGGCTGTCGCGCAGTGAGGTGTAGTCGGCGGCTCGAAGTTGTGTCTGGTTGTGGCGGAGATAAGAAAGCCTTTCTGCCTCCACTTTGCAGAAGTGGTCAACTAAGTATTGCTGAAAGAGTGGTGCTGCGTGCAAGATTGTGCTGAACTCGCCTGATCTTTCGAACAAATGCCATCCGTAGTACATCATCGGAGTAATCTTGGTACGTCTGCCGTCTTGAACACTGGAGAATCGAAACTCTGAATACCATCCATCTCTACCGTTCGGGAACAAAAGCACGTAACTCAATGGATCGTATGCGCGATGACTGACTGAAATCGGATCCAGCACTTCGTTCCCGTTACTGTTCAGAGTCCCTCTCCTGCGCACGACGATATCTCTTCGCCCAATCTCTCCGTCTTCATTTCCAGGGATCAATGCGGCGACTTCAGAAGCTTCGGGACCATTGTACCGGCGCACGTGCTCATGACTTGGCCTGCGGTCGGCATGGGTGACCATCTGGTACGTGGCAGGACAGTTGTTGTGAGGAGATTGAGCCCATTCTCGCATACACAGAAACGTCTGCACGTAGGGGTTGCATTCGTGCAGCATGTGTGTCAGTTGCGTCATCAGTGCCTCTTAAAGTTGTCTAGAGGTTCCAAGCCTTGTGCGCGTCTGGGTGGCGTAGTCAGTGTCATGAATGTAAACGGAAGCATAGGAAGGCGCCCGCCCTTCGGATGGCATCATGGGACCCATGTAATGGTACATCCCGCCCTGCATCGTCATTGTGGGGTTAAAATTAGAAGGACCGGGACCTCTGTTCACCCATTTGGCGACCACGGATGCCATCGATAGCGCTACATTGTATGCTCGAATGTTCTTACGGAAGCTGCGGGCCCTTGGAGTATCATCGATGAGAAGAGAGCGCAGAAGAGCTGGCGGGTCGGGGAGAAGCGGCAATGACAGCTTCCCCTTCCCACAGCATGTGGAAAAAATGGGCCTTGCGGCAGAGCTGCTCCCGATGCGTTCTTGGACGAAATGCAGAGCTTTGCAGTGCGAACACTCAACACAGATCATGCCGAGATCGCGGTACGAAGGAGAGGACTCGGGTAGTGGAGGGAAGAGCTGTCGAGAGGCACTTCGAGCCTGGCGGTCGGATCTTTGCCGCGCAGCAATGACGGGGGATATATCCACAGCTCTCGCTTGTCGCATTGCCAAGCGATTCGACTCCTGTCTCGAAGATCTCAGTGGAGTATTTTCGTCGGCTCGGCCTCTTTGCGTTGCACTAAGATCCGATTCTCGCCGCCCCTCACGAATAGGAGTACATTCCTCCGCTCTAGCGCCTCGTGTCGCAATGCGATCCGCTTCGCGCCGCGCATTTCAGAGGGGGGTGGTTTCTCCCGCTCTGCGCGCCCTGGCTCTCTCCCTCAGTCGACGGAGACGCTCCTCGCGCTGCTCGGACGTCTCTGCTGCTCTTCGTGCTGCAGCACGTTCACGGTCGGCTTGACGACGCGCTTCCCTCTGAGATTCGGTTTGTTGCCCCGTCCGGATTCTCGCACGGGCTCGACGTGCCTCACGACGTGCTTGAGCGTCAGATGCAGACTCTTGCGCTCTTCTTTCCCTTGCACGCGCGTTTCTTTGCTGCCGTCTTGCTTCGCCACGTCTTCGCCCGCTGTTCCCGCCATTTATGTTCTGCTTGGCGTGCTAGTGTTATCCTTGCAAGTGCAGCTAGGGTTGACGCAAGTGCGAGGGGTCCGTTGTAGATCGCTATGAGTCGTAGCAAGCAGTCCTCAAAGGTCTAAACGCAACGTCAGCCAGCTAGGTCGTCCGCAAGAGCACTTAGCAAAAGAGTAACAATATAGGGCCTTTATTGTCTTGTACTATCCCGTGATTCAAAAGAACCAAAAACGAAATAGAAATAGACTAATGGTCCTACTATACACAGGGTACAGTATTAATACTCAGAGTACGACCACCTTGTCTATTTCTACTCCCAGGGAGCCCGGTATTAGAAAGAACCTCTTGCAAGGCTCTTCCCGCCGGGGTCGCTAAGTACGCGCGCTCCCTTTTCCCTCAGTGCGGTGGTTAGGTTTCCCAAGCCCTAACGGCACCTACACTGGTGTAATAATATGGATCCTTCCGGTTCGGTGTTAATCCGTCACGGAGGGGGTGTCCACGGTAGCGGTAAATTACAACGCCAGCAACCTCACTAGGAGGGTGGCTTGTGCGAGACCGAAACGGACGAAGGGAGATGCTACCTCTGAAGACAGGAGGTGAGTCCTAATTAGGAAGTTGGGGGCTAGCTCAGAGGGGATGGGGTAGCTGGTTTATTCTCCGGGAGGGAGGCAGTTCCTCTCTAGTACGTCTGCCTTCCTCGGGCCTCAAGCTACTGTACGACTACTGTACAGTAGCTATCATAACTACTGTAAGAGACACCTCCTATGTACACGTGTGTCACTGTGCCCCTGGCACCACGTGTACACGGACCTGTAAATTAGGCCACGTGTGCGGTCACTGCAGCTTGCACGTGTTCACTACACAACGTATGGTACTTGTAAATTAGGCCACTCTAGCTACTGTAGAGCGTCCGAGAACGGAATTGTCATACTTCTACATTCCCCTCTTCTTGGACTGCGCCACGCCCCGGGGCGCACTGTGTGTCCGTTAACACACGAGGCAATGTGGCCACGAGGCAGCTAAATTTCACTTCCGAAACGCGTGTGCGCCTTCTGCGTGCGCAGTGCCACGAGAGTAGCATCCACGTGTAGCGCGTGCGCAATATTTTCGCAGATTTTCCGAATCGGTCTTTGCCAGCCTTTGGCGCACGGTGCCACTGCAGTAGCATCCACGTGTCGCCCGTGCCCTATAATTTTCCCAGATTTTCCGAATCGGTCTTGGTACCCCCTGTGCGGGCGGCGGCACGCGCCGCAATTTGCGACCGTCGTGTCGCAACTGCGGCATACTATACGCCTGGGCGCATACAGCGCGTGCAGCGGAGACGAGCTGAGGGAGACCCTTCGTCGGGAGGCGTGGTGGTGAGCGCATTTTTCCCAATTGGGCCTTCCGAATGCCACGGGCGGCAGCGCGAGCGCGGGCGGCGAGGCTGCAGCGGCGGGCCGTGCACGGAGTGCAGTGCGGCGCGAGGGTGCCGGACGTGTTCATGGTCTTCCGCAATGGGGTTCGTCCGTCATCGGGGTTGCCTTCCTTCGTACTGTTCGGCGACGCCCGGTGCCTGCGCTCTCCCGTACAGGGTGTCTTCGAGTTGCAATCGTCGTCGCTGCGTCCATGATGGGTCGTTCGTGCGTTACTAATATCCATGTGGGGTCGGGACTTCGCCTTCGTTAGGCTAGTGACTTCCCGATCGGGTTTTTCCTTTGCCATAAAAATCGGCCATTTTGCCAGTAAAACGTGCCTGGTTTTCTCGTCTTCGAGGCTTGTCTTTGTAAATTAACGAGCTCCCATTGGACATTCCCTAAAATCGTCGTGCCTCAAACCGCCTCCTTGAACCGCCACCAATTTCCTTTTGGGCGTTCCCATTGGGCATTACCATTTTTGGTCGATTTTTCATGTAGCGTGCTCCACTCTCGTCCACCAGCTTGCCTCTGACGCGACCTTCGGAGGCGGAATTTGGAGCTTGTCGCCCTCCTTGGGATGACCGCTGCGTCAGCTTGCTCGCATCCTTTCCCCTTCTGCTGCTCTAGTCTTCGGCGCCGTCCCGACCGGGTCTCAATTAGTTTTCCCAGAGGGGTCTTCTCTTGTCATGGGGACCTTCCCAACGTCGTCTCGATTGGGTTTTCCCTGGGGGCTCCGGCCGTGGGGACATACAATCCCGGACGGGTCTTTCTCGGCCCTAATTGTCCGTCTTGTCGGTCTTTCGCCGTTCTCCCGACAGGGTTTACAGATATATCCCAAGCGGGTTGGCTGGCTTATTTGGGCTCCTGCACAGTTCCGAATCTCACTTTAAAATTCGGAAGCCATACCCCTCTTCTTTGAGTGCGCCACGTCCTCGGGGCGGCCATCATGTTCGTGGCCCGCGCCCGTTAGCCTCCTTCAAGCGGCCGTTGTACGGACGTAACCGACGCCACGGGGCCATTGCGAAACTGGCCCAAGCCGGCCCGGTGTGAACTCCCTTCGGGTCGTGATTAGGCGTCGGTTCGCCTCCGCGACGCCTCTGCACGGCGGCATTCGACCTCGCGGTACTCCTCCGAACTCGGACACACGGTCTATTCCCGTCAAGCCTTCTGTGCCCTTTCGGGAGTCGTCGCTGCTTCTGTCCTTTGAGGAAGGCCGGCACATTCCCGTGTGACAGAGGGGAGCAGGTGACCTCTCTCGCGTCCGCCCGTCCTGTGGTCGTGTCGCTTCTCCCGCCCCTTGCGTTATTCTCCGCCATCGGACGACTCCCTCTGGCGCAAGGATTAGGAGGCAGGCCCGCCGCCGAAGGGGCTTGGGCTACGGAGCAACGCCTTTCAGGTCGACAAGTGCGCACAGTACCTCCACGGACGTAATTCAGGGCGAAACCCACTGGAGCGCCCCTCCGCTGCCGGGACGAATTCCGCGAACGGTGGCTATAAATACGGACGCGACGGCCTCCCTACCGCCTACAAGTCCGCCGCTCGACTCCACGTCCTTCATCTCGGAACCCGCCTGGGACGACCGACCCGGGCGGTACGGGAAATCGGCAGTTATACGAGCTCGCCCCTTTGGGGTTCCTCTCCCCCTTTTGACAGATTCCCACTTGACTGCCGTCCACCACCAGGGGTCGACCACTTATCCTTTTTAAAAGGACGCCGGTATTTTTCCGAGACGGGTAGTACAGTCTACCAGGAGGACTACATACCCTGGGGGAACTGTAATAAAATCCCTTCTGAGTTTCTTCTGTCCTTTCGCAGGTAACGTTTCGGCAAACGCGACGCGTACGGGATTAGTTGACCGCCAACGACAGAGGTGCGGTCGCTTCTCCAACGCTCCGTCGACCTTGAAAGTTTCACCCGTTCGGGACTTAAGAATATTCCGAGTCCGGCCTCGTGCCCTGTTCTTTTTCGGGGTTTTCTTAAACGTCCGTTGTGGTCTGTTCGCCTTTTTGGGCTTGTCCGATCTCGGAAACTTGGGAGTGAACTGCGGTTGGCGGGGCATACCCCCTATTAAAAGGACCTTTTCGGACTGTCCTTTCCTAGGTTCCCTTTGCAGTTCGGTCTGTGCGGTCAAGCAACCCTGCCCATAGCGGACCAACTTTTGGTGGCGCCCCCTCACTTGTAAATTCGAGGGGGCGTGGGGGCGTTGCCATCCGTGACGAATTTGAGGCACACGAGGGGTACCCTTTGTGGGCTCGTATTTTTCCCAGTTGGGGGTTCGTCTCCAACCCCCTGAAAGGGTCGAGCCTTTGTGTCCCGTATGGGGCTTCGAGTGCCGTGTGTCAAGACGTCCTCGGGGCTGTGGTTCCGATCTCGCCCCGACGGGTGTGGACCGCTTTCGTTCATTTAGTCTCGGCAAAGACCTGTCTCGAGGGATGAGACAAACCTCTACAGTGTGGTCCGGCCTCGGCTTTTCTTCTTCCCTTGCGGGTCCAGCGACATCCTTGCGGCCGTTTAACGCTTCTAATTCCCGGACCAGACGCGCAATGTCCTGTCGAAAGGAATTGCGTTCTCGGTGAGAAAGTAACCGAACTCGTAGGTCTTCCGTTAAATCGGGACAGCAAGGCCGGCTCGGAGAGAGGCATAAAGGGCAGAGGATCTCGTCGTCGGAAGAACTTCTCCGTCGACCCGAGCGGGACAGTTTCCCACCAGTGGGCCCCAGGCTTGACTTTCCTCTCTTCTTTTCGGCCCTTTTTCCTTGAGAGGACCTTGATATACGTTTACCGGTCTCGCGATTTCGTCCCAAACGGTTGTCTTCGAGAGCGCCTCCGGGCGGCTCGTCACAAGCCCCGCAGGGAATAGTGCCCCTATTTCCCTTAGGGTCTTCTCCGTTGGCCTGCCTTTGGTCCTTTTCGGACGCCGCCACCACCACCTCGCTGGCATTAATTCTTTCTTCCCTCGAGGGTACTTTTTCGGACTCCGAATCGGTGGGGACCTTCTTGCCCTTACGGGATCTTCTGGTCCGCCGTTTCCTATGGCTTTCGCTATGGACTGTAGCGGACGCATACCCCTTCGCCTTGAAGTTCCACTCCCTAAGGGCGAGCATCCGGACTCGATCCTCCTTGGAGAGTCCGTGACAGC